AGGCTTCTCTTTTTTACACACAGTCCTGGGGGATGGTCATTCCCACATCTGGAGCTAATATCTACAGGAAGCTGCAGTTATTTCTCTGGCTAGCGTTCTCCACAAAACTAATTCATCTCAACAAAATCTCAGCCTTAAAGATGTCAGCATGAATTGGGGAAAAAAAAAAAAAGATCATGCAGTTTCTTCTGGAGTAATGAGACATACACACACCAATGTGTCCAAAATGGGAGAATACAGCTCTTCCCACCCACACAATTTTAAAAATACTGTCATGGGGGATAGATGACTCAGCAGTTAAGTGCACTGACTGCTTTTCCAGAAGACGTGAGTTCAATTCCCAGTAACCTTGTGGTGGCTCACAACCATCAATAGTGGGATCTGATACTCTCTTCTAGCGTAAAGTTGTTCATGCAGATAGAGCACTCATAGATAAAATAAATAAATCTTTAAAAAGTAAATGTTTTTTAAAAAAAAAATCTCCATACAGTGTAACCCGATTTGCTGTGACTGTGTTGCAAACACGAAAATAACAGCCCTTTATGTAAAAATAGCAACGACCCAGGCTCAAGGCCTGAACGTACATGACTTTGGGTAGGGAGCGCCTCACTCTTTCCCCATTTCTCAAAATCTCCAACAAGACTTGTTTATAGTGTCCTGCCAGGTGGCTCAGTCTGTAAAAGCACCTGCCAAACAGTCTGAACTACTTAAGTCCAGCCTTTGGAAGCCAGGATGGAGAGAGAGAACCAACTCCTGAAGGGGTCCTCCAATCTCTACGCGGGCACAGTGGCACAAGCGCGCCAATACAATACACACACAGGACAGCAATGACAGTAACAAGTTTTTAAAGAACACAGCTTCATTTACAATAAAGACAATTCACCTTCCTGCATCGTGATCTAGAGTTTTCACTTTACCAGTTCTAATCCTATCAGGTCCCCTCAGGAACCACTGCGGATCATAACCCACCCAAAGTCTATGTATCACTGCCAACATCACTGCCTCGCAGAGACGTCCACGTGCGCGCCCAGGAGTGTGTCATATTTACTGAGTGCTGCCCCTCTCTCAACCCTCATGTTTAAAATCTATATGAAAATCTTTGATTAAGCCCCAGCTCTCCTTCATACTGCAGAATCCAAACTCTCTTTTCTAAGTTGAAGCTACAATCTCCGTTTGGCCTGAGTCAAGGTCCCTAAAAGATTAGAGAATTCTGGCTTCTGTAGGTGACAGTGAAGCATACCTCCGGCCTCTGTCCCCTACATCATTGACACTCTTAAACAAAACCTACAAATCTCCCAGTGCCTAAAAGAGTGTTAACTCACTGGATTGTTGGCCAGTCAGTGTCAAATACATGGAATGAGGCTTGAAAAGCATTTTCACAATCACAGCTATCACGACTCCAAAAATAGCACTTCCAACAGGCAGAGCTGAACTTACCAGTAAACCTCAGCTGAAACCTTGGCTGTGATTTGTGAAGCAAGTTGTTTAGACTAAAAAGAGACTGGGCACATCTACAAAGGGCAAACACAAGAATGGAGGACGGAGTCTGTATTTATAGCTTGCTATTGTCAGGGGTCTTTTTCCAGATAGAGGGCAGTTAACACTCAAGAAATTACAACCTTGGGTCCAGTTAATGTTTAATGTCTGGCCATGCCTCTTTGCACATTTGTGAGCATCTGTCCCTTTCACTCACCGTGGACCCCAGTGCTGCAGCAGCCGCCTTGGATCCCATGAACCCTCTGCTGCCCCAGGGCTTTGTGAAGTGTGTCCAGTGCTGTCTGCACAGGGCCAGCTGACCCTGTCTGCTGCACCTGATGTGGAGGACCACCCCAAACCACCTGTAAACAGTGTGAGTCTACCAAACTAATTATTGCTTTTTTACACCTCTTTTTTAAATGAAGAATGTAAGTGAGAGTAGAGTTGGACTTCATTGTTTAAATAACATTTTATGAGGGTGGGTGAGGGGATGAGTCAGCAGTTAAGATCAATTGCTGCTCTTTCAGAGAAACCAAGTTTGGGTCCCAGCACCCATGTCAGGTGGCTCACAACTGCCTGTAATTCCAGCTCCAGGGGATCCAACATCCTCCTCTGGACTCCTGAAGCACCTGCATTCAAGTGAAGACACACACGTGAATAAAAATAATAAATATTTTAATTTAAAGATAAAGCTCTATACAATACTACCCATCACCATTAAGGTTCACAGAAGAGTGTTGGGCAGGAAAGACAGATGTAATGCTAAGTAACACTATCTTTGCCTCTAGGCATTGTAAATGCACCTCTAAAGAAAGAACTTTTTGGGTTTTTTTTGTTTGTTTGTTTGTTTGTTTGTTTGTTTGTTTTTTGAGACAGGGGTTTTCCTTAGCTTTGGAGCCTGTCCTGTAATTTGCTCTGTTGACCAGGCTGGCCTCGAACTCACAGAGATCCACCTGCCTCTGCCTCCCAAGTGCTGGGATTAAAGGCGAGTGCTACCACTGCCTGGCTTAATGGAAGAAATTTTAGGGAACAATAGTACAACTGGCCTTGCCTCACACCCAACAGGCTGCGTAAGCAACAGAGTCCTCTACAGATGTTTACCACAGCTGTGTTCGGAAGCTGGATGTGGACAATGCTCAGAGACATTACTTCTCTATCAGAATACATCATCTGAACAAAAATCACTGAAGTGCTTTAGAGAGCTGAGGGCCAAACCTCAAACTCCATCTCTTTTGATTAAATGTCAATCACTTTAAAAGTTTGCATTTTCAATAGGAAGTGGTGGCACACACCTTTAATCCAAGCATTTGGGAGGCAGAGGCAGGCGGATCTTTGTGAGTTTGAGGCCAACATGGTCTACATAGTGAGTTCCAGGACAAGCAGGGCTACATAGAGAAACCCTGTTCTGAAAACAAAAAAAAAAAAAGAAAAAGAAAAAGAAAAAGAAAAGAAAAGAAAAGAAAACAAAGAAAGAAAGAAAGAAAGAAAGAAAGAAAGAAAGAAAGAAAGTTATGCATTCTCAGGCTGGGGATGTGGCTTACTTGATAGAGATCTTGCCTAGCATGCACAAAGACTTGGGTAATCCCTGACATGCATAAAGCAGGCAAGCAAGGGCCATAGCTTTACACATGTCCCTCTTCTAACCATGTAGTTGACAACCTGAGACCCCACCTGCATCAAGATACACAAACATCCACCATAAAAATGCAATGTTTCTCAATTTACTTAACTTTACTTTGTGTACATTGTTATAAAGGTGTCAGATCCCCTGGAACTGGAGTTACAGATAGTTGTGAGCTGCCATGTGGTTGCTGGGAATCGGACCTGAGCTTGGTTTTGTTTTTTCAAGACAGTGTTTCACTGTGTAGCCCTGACTGTCCTGGAACTTACTTTGTAGACCAGGCTAGTCTTGAACTCACAGAGATCAGCCTGCTAAGGGCCTGCGACACCACTGCCCGACTTGTCTGTCTTTTCTAATCCTTGGGAAAGAGCTCCATCACAAACTCCAGTTCATGCCCCATTTATGAGCCATATATTAGAATCTGCAAAACAGCCTGTGGTGGCAACACACGGTTCAGCACTCAGGAGGCTGAGAACGGACTGAGTTAAGGCCAGCCTGGTAGTGTGTGGCGAGGGTGGGGGACCGTGCTCTAACCCCAGTCGTTCTTGGACTTCAGATCAAATTTGCAGGAAGGATCTCCTACAAGCAAGCATCCCCCACTTCTTCCCTGGCAGCCCCACCCTCCATTTGCCCACCAAGTCCAGACACCTCTACCTACCTTTACACTTGTAGGAATAACACGTTCTGCCTGAGGGTCCCTGACTCCACTGTGCTTCACCACGCCCAGTTTTTGCTGTGCTGGTCTATCAAGCAATGCCAGCACTCTACCCACTGAGCCTCGCATCCGTCCCAACCCACTAAAATACCAACGGGTTCTCTTTCACAAAGTTGTGATCTCTTCAAAAAGGGAATACCTTTTTTTCTTTTTTCTTTTTCTTCTTTTTTTTTCTTTTCTTTTCTTTTCTTTTTTTTTATGACTTCAAACACTGCTAAAATTGTTGAGCAAAATAGGTCAAAGGAATATGTGTTAGATATTTGTCCAAGGTGTATTTTTTGTTACACCATCCATTTCTGGAAGGAGGCCTGGAAGGAAAGCGAGCCTGAACGCGAGGCCTTTACTGTACCTACGCACTATCCACACTTAAAATCTTGTCAGTGTAAACCATTGATCAAAACTAAAATGTCGAGTTCCTAGGTCGGCAGCTGGAGCTCAGGTGATAGACGCAGATGACTGCACGAGGAGGGGGGCAGTTGCTAGGCAACCAGAGACGCAAACAACAGGCGTTCTCAGACTGAGACGACGAGGGCAAGCAGGTAGTCTAGGTGAGGGGATTTGGGCGGTGGGAGAGTCCTGTGACAGCCCTCCTAGCCCAGAACTCTGGCCTGTGTATTGATTGAAACCCCAGAGGCGGAGCCTGAGCAGGGGAAGGGTCCTGCTGGGCACCGGACTCTGACCCCAGCTCCTCCTACCCGGCCAGCCTGCTCCTCCTCTGTACCAGGGCGGGGCAAGGGACCTGGCGCCTTCCCTACCCAGGTAGCTGGTTCCAGCCTGCGTGCACCAGCCCACTTATACCATCCTGGAAAGGAAACAATGCTTCTTCTCCTAAATCCCCCTTGGGCCTGGCCCGCAGCCTGGGAAAGAGTTATTGTTGGAAGTAAGGGTGGAAACAGGATTAGGGGTATGTTCCCTGCCATCCCTTCACTAGGCATTTGACGCCTCCTAAACACACACACACACACACACACACACACACACACACACACACACACACACACACGGGCTCTCTTCTTTCCTTTACACGCTCCGGGGCTTTGTGCCTGAAGATGGGCCACTGAGGAATTATAGCTGATTGTTAATTCCTCATAGGAAGTCGAGCTGGGGACTAAATTGGGACGCTTCCCAACAGACTCTGCGGGAAAGGGCTTAGTGCCAGGTGAACAGGATCCAGGTCCAGAGTGGCACTTTGCTTTTTTTCTGCAGGTGGTGACCTGGAACAGACCTAAGAGTTTCAGACTCTTGGCTCCTTAGCCATGGCTACACTCAGCGTCAAGCCGAGCCAGCGCTACCAGCTCTCGGACTGGCGCACCAACAGCTACCTGTTGTCCACCAACGCTGAGAGGCAGCGGGATGCTTCCCACCAGATACGCCAGGAGGCCCGGATCCTCCGCAATGAGACCAATAACCAGGTTGGGTGTGCCGCTCAACCCGGTGGACTATGGGAGAACCCTTAACCACAGACACCCATTTTATTTGGTTCTGTCTCTTCCAGACTGTATGGGATGAACATGACAATAGGGTTCGCCTGGCAGAGAGGATCGATACTGTCAACCGTTGGAAGGAGATGCTGGACAAGTGTCTAACAGATTTAGATGCTGAGATAGACTCCTTGACACAGGTGCTGACACCCGGGCTGGGTAGCAGTAGGCTCTGATGCAAAGGCCTGCCCCTCCCACCCTACTTCCAGGTCTGAGAAGCCAGGCTCTGGGGAAGGGAGGATCGGAAGTTCCTGGCAGTGCAGCGTGCCACCAGTCCCTCTGCCCTTCCTTTCTAGATGAAAGAATCCGCAGAGCAAAACCTGCAGGCCAAGAACCTGCCTCTGGATGTGGCCATCGAGTGCCTGACCCTGCGGGAGAGCCGGCGAGACATTGATGTGGTGAAGGACTCTGTGGAGGAAGAGCTTCTTAAAGAGGTGGAAGTCATTGAAGCCACCAAGAAGGCCTTGCAGCAGAAGATCAGCCAGGCCTTCCAGCAGCTCTGGTGAGGAAGAGGAAAGCCTGAGCACACTCACAGGCATTCGAGGCATCACGGGTTTTGTGGGCAAAGAGCAACTGGCTGGATGCTATTTTCTGTCCCTCCAGCCTTGTGGCAGAGACCACTGGTTGTTTGCAGCAAGCTTTCCACCACCTGCTCCTAGTTAGGACCCTGCCCTAGGCAGCCACTACTCCGTGGCTGAAGGCCCCTGCCTCTGCTCTCAGCACCTTACTATAAGTGTGCGTGCATGCGCGTGATGCCAGGTCCCCAGACGTGCTTTGTGTCCTCCCCCAGCCTCCTGCAGGAAGTCCGGCAGCAGCTCTGCTCTGACCACCGGGACAAAATGGAGACCCTGGATATCGACAGGGGCTGCCTCTCTCTCAACCTCACTTCTCCAAACATCTCTCTGAAGGTTAACCCCACAAGAGTCCCCAAAGAGTAAGAAGATTATTTCAGTCAGTCCCTCCTCTGTCCCTTGGAGGCCACACCCTGCAGCCCCGTTGTCTCCTTGCTTCCGCAGCTCCACCACCCTGCAGCAGTGGGATGACTTCAGTATGTTCAACAAGAACCACGCGGAGGATGAAATGAAGGCAACCATAGAGCTGAGAGAAGCCATCGCCCTAACTATTGCTCAGGTGCCTGAGCCCATCACCTTTATCTTTCCTTCCACACTGGCCGTGTTAGCTCTTCTTCACAAGGCCATGACCTCCCTCTTGCCTGGCCCGCCCTTATCACACAGACCAACAACGAACTTGAAGCTCAGAGGGTCGCAACAGAATTTGCCTTCAGGAAGAGGCTTCGGGAGATGGAGAGCCTGTACAGCGAGCTCAAGTGGCAAGAGAAAAATGTAAGTCAAGCCCTGGCCCTCCCTCCCTGCTGTGAGGCAAGGCCTAAGGTGTCCTTGAAGCTCACAGTTGGGGGCCCGAGTGTGAGTCTTGCTGGTGGAGAACAGTATGTCTGCCACAGACCTTAGAGGAGATAGCCCAGCTGCAGGAAGACATTCGGCGCCTGGAGGAGGACCTGCGCAGAAAGATGATGAACTTGAAGCTCGCACATACCCGGCTGGAATCCAGGACTTACCGGCCCAATGTGGAACTCTGCCGGGACCAGGTACGAGCATCCGGAGTGGAAACCTCCCTCCTCGGCTAAGGAGTCCTCAGTATTGTCCCTGCACGGGTCCCTGGTGGAGCAAGCATTCTGACCCAGGACAGCCCTGAAGCCTGCTGAAGGGCAGAGTGGCTGGACTACAAATCCCACCCTGCCCCTCTGCCTCCAGACACAGTATGGCCTCACTGATGAAGTCCACCAGCTGGAGGCAACCATCAATGCCTTGAAGCAGAAGCTGGCCCAAACACAGTAGGTTTAGAGAGCGGGCAGGAAGGGTGGGAGACATTGTCCAACCCTGAGACCTTACTGCCTGCTGGTCCCTGCGGGCTTTTACGCTGGTGAAATGGTATGGCCCTTGAAGCCTGGTGCAGGATTGTGAGCTCTCGATGCATCCTCTACAGGGATGCTCTCGATGCCCTGTTCAAGCACCTGGCCCGGCTGCAGGCTGACATTGCGTGCAAGGCCAACTCTATGCTGTTGGACACCAAGTGTATGGACACCCGACGCAAGCTGATGGTGCCGGCTGAGAAATTTGTGCCCCAGGTGGACACCTTCACGCGCACGACAAACCGTACACTGAGTCCACTCAAAACCTGCCAGCTGGAGCTAGTCTAGCCTTGGTGGCTGAGGGAGGAGGGGAGGGCGATTGGGAAGTGAGGAGGGGGCAGTAAACCTAATAAAGATGGAGTTCTCAGGCCAGGCTCTTCTCTGCTACCCATGAGGGTGTCATGAGACGCTCCACTTGTGGGATGGAGTGGCCTAGTCTTCTTAGGGGTCAAAGGTCCAAAGAGACTCCAGAAGAAGTGTGGGTGCAAAGATGGGGAGGTTCACCTACGGGCAACTGTGGTGTGGAGTAGGCAACATTCTTGTTCAGATTCTTTTCAAAGGTCCTCCTTTTGACGCTTTAGGGAGTTGTCACCCATTTGTGGGGCCATTTGTGGGTAGGGGGAGCCAAAGCGAAGCAAGTGGGGACTGCGGAGCGCTGCGGCTCCGAGACGCTTGGTGGCGCTGTAGGCTGGGACGCATGCTGAGACTCCAGGCCACAAGGGTGAGCATGCGAGGAGGGAGGACCGCGGGGGCCGCAGCATCGGCGCCGGAAGTGACGACAAGCCCGCGCGCGGATGGCGGCGGCGGCGGCGGCGGCGGCAGCGATGACGGCGGCGGGCGGCGGCGGGGCTGGTACGGCCCGCTCTCTCTCGCGTTTCCGAGGCTGCCTAGCGGGCGCGCTGCTGGGAGACTGCGTGGGCGCCGTCTACGAGGCACACGATACCGTCAGCCTGACGTCAGTCCTGCGTCACGTCCAGAGCCTGGAGCCCGACCCCGGCACGCCGGGCAGCGCGCGGACAGGTGGGCGGGGCGCCACCCGCCGGGTCCGCACACCTGGGCGAGGGACGAGTCGGAGGGTCCCTACAAAAGTTGCAGCTTGAGCCTGGGTACTGGCCCTAAGTAGGGGAGTGGCAGCAGGAGATGGGTGGCTGAGAGTTACCGTCTGATAAGGCAGGAGGTCCGTCACCTGGGCTGGGACGGAAGAAAGCTGCTTCCCTCGGGAGATCAGGGCACAGTGAGCAAATGGAGGGAGAACAGACATTGTTCCTCTCACCCGCAGGGATGTGATTGAGGATAGGAGACTGCGACAAAGAGCAACCCCTTACCCAGTGTACTGGGATGGCTTTGCTCTTCGCCCAGGCTGGGGGAGTCTGGGAATGTGCTTACTGCTATGAAGCTGGGATACAGAGGTCACCAGAGAAGAGGGAAGATGGAGTTTGGGCTGCATGGAAGGAGTGGGCTGACAGTTTGAGGGATCAGGGAGGCACTCGTCAGACGACTCCATTCTCTGTAACTTGTCTTTTCTCCAGTGAGGCCAAGTCACTGTCCCCGGCAGGTTAGTAGCTTCTTGAGTATCAGAACATAACTGTGTATGGTGTCACACACCTCTAGTTCCAGCACTTACAGCAAGCTTGAGGCCGGCCAGCCTGGTCTAGGCCAGACAGAAGTACACAGTGAGACCCTGTCTCAAAGACAAAACAAAAGAGGTGGATCAACAGTTACGAGCGCTGACTGCTCTTCCAGAGGACCCAGGTTCAATTCCCAGCACCCACATGGTGGTCTACAGTCATCTGTAACTCCAGGCTCAAGGGAATCCGACACCCTCTTCTGCTTCCCTGGGCACCAGGCGTACATGTGGTGTACAGATATACATGACAAATATACCCACACAAATAAAAAAAAATTTAAAGGAGGGGGGATCCCAGAATACCTGCAACTAGGGGGAAAGGAGATGGGGGGGGGTGAGGGGCAGCTCTAGCTGGAAGGACTTGACCCAAGGGCAAGGATTGGTCAAGGGAGTCTGTGAGATGGAAGATGGGCAGGAAGGAAGGGACTGAGGCGGGAAGGATTTGGATACCGAGCCCATGAGTTAAGGCCTCTCCCTGAAGCCAACAGAGCGCTGTTTTGATCAAGAGAGTGAGAGGAAGATGGCAACATCTTACTGCAGCACTTAAAGCCAGCTCTGGAGGTGGGAAGCAGTTCAGCCTGACCAGGCCATACTGAGATCGTTGGTAGTGAAGGAGGAAGGGAGCAGAAGGTTTCCTTCAGAAGTCAGCAGGGTGTCTTGACTGCTGTGTACTAGACAGTTGCTGAAGAGCCCAAGGATCTGAACAATTTCTAGTTGCAGGAAGAAGGGGTAAGAGGTCACAGCAGGGTCACGGTGAAGGTCAGCTGTTGGGCCACCAAGAGGCGTGAGTGGGCATCCTACCCGAGCCCTGTGGGTTGTTCTCACCCCAGCACCCTCTTTCCTGCAGAAACGTTGTACTACACAGATGACACTGCCATGGCCAGGGCCCTGGTGCAGTCCCTGCTGGCCAAAGAGGCCTTTGACGAGGTGGACATGGCTCACAGGTAAGGGATGTAACCGGAGAGAGACATCACCTGTGCTTGCTCAGTGCCCGCTTTCTCATCTGGGCCCGCCGTTAAGGCTGACAACAGCTCCCCAGCTAAAACTGACGACACTGTTGGTACAGGCGCCCCAGGACCCAGCCTCCCCTTTCAGCCCAGCCCACACTTTTCTTCTAGCGGTGAGAGACACCTTTGAGACTTATCTGCTTCTTTCTCTTCACCAGGTTTGCCCAAGAATACAAGAAGGACCCTGACAGAGGGTATGGGGCTGGAGTCATCACTGTCTTCAGGAAGCTCCTGAGCCCCAAGTGCCGTGACGTCTATGAGCCTGCCCGGGCCCAATTCAATGGAAAGGGCTCCTATGGCAATGGGGGTGCCATGCGGGTGGCAGGCATCCCACTGGCCTATAGCAATGTCGCAGATGTGCAGAAGGTACTGGGCAGCCTGGTCACAGACACCCTTCCCCGGCTGATCTGTAGAGACATGTGACAGTGGCCCCTCCTCTCCGTAGTTTGCCCGGCTCTCAGCCCAGCTGACCCATGCCTCCTCCTTGGGTTACAACGGTGCCGTCCTGCAGGCGCTGGCTGTGCACCTAGCTCTGCAGGGTGTGTCGTCCAGTGAGCACTTCCTGGAACAGCTTGTGAGCCACATGGAGGAGCTGGAAGGTGATGCCCAGTCTGTCCTGGATGCCAAGGAGTGAGTATGCGCTGGAGCCAGGGCTAAGGCTAGTGTATGCAGGGTGGGGGGTGTCTGACATTCCTGTCTTCCCTGGGAACTGTTTGCAGTGGTGGGAAGAGGCCCCTTTGCCTCAGTGGATTTATGGCCCCCGGTGTCCCAGAGAGCAAGCCGTCTCTGGCCCTCTCCCAACACTGTTAAGGCATGTGCACCTGTGTGGGACCTGATGTCCCCAGTTCCCCTGTGTGTCTCTGCATGCCCACACTGACCTTTAAAATCGCTGCCCAAACCCCAGGTTGGGTATGGAGGAACGTCCATACTCCAGCAGGCTGAGGAAGGTTGGAGAGTTGCTGGACCAGGACGTGGTGAGCCGACAGGAAGTGGTGTCTGAACTAGGTGGGTGGACCCAGTTGACCTCAGAGAGGGCTTCGGAATAGCTAGAGCTCCTCTTTGTAGGACCCTGGCAGGGCTGTGAACGTGGTGCCTGCAGCTTTAAGGATCAAGTCCTCAGAAACGGCCAGTGTGATTGTGGATGTTGGTCTCCCTGGTGCCTGTGCCCTGGGCACTTGTGGAATACTTCACAAGTGACCCACCTCCCAACAGCCCTGGGAGGGAGCAGGAATCAAAGCCAAGAACAAGGCTAAGTGGGACCATGGCTGGCCGCCAGCAGGCTGGGTGGGGCCCCATAATCTGAGTGTAGGGCTTGACATCTCAGGCATGACCCTGCACAAAGCTGGGAGTGCTGGCTCTAGCAAATGGCCTGTGGCAGGGAGGGGAGGTCATGTTCCTCAGCTCCGGCTTTCCCACAGGGAATGGCATTGCCGCCTTCGAGTCTGTGCCCACCGCCATCTACTGCTTCCTACGCTGCATGGAGCCTGACCCCGAGATCCCCTCCACTTTCAACAGCCTCCAGCGGACCCTCATCTACTCCATCTCACTTGGTGGAGACACAGATACCATAGCCACCATGGCTGGGGCCATCGCTGGAGCTCACTATGGAATGGAGCAGGTGCCAGAGAGCTGGCAGCAAAGCTGTGAGGGCTATGAGGAGACAGATGTCCTGGCCCAGAGCCTGCATCGAGTCTTCCAAGAGAGTCTGTGAGGGCCACAGCTTCAGTGGCCCTGTCAGGCCTATCAGGACCAAGGACAACTCAGATTGCAACCAGAGCCCCCTGACGCTGGCTTTCCTGCTTCAGCATTCCTAAGGGCAGGCCAAGGGCACCCTTGGGGCTGGAGTCTTAGGACAGTCTGTGGAGCAGTGAGGAACTGGTGCCTTCTTGGAGCTGCAGGGCTGTGTGACACCCCAGGGTCCTCAGAAATAGGAGGGGTCAGGGCAGCTTTACTTTGGAAGGTATTGTGGCTTCTTTCCATGTAGGACATGGGACTTCAGGAGGTGGAAATGACCTGTGGGCACATCATATCTCCCTGTTGGGTTTTAACCAATGTGACTGGAAGCCCTTGTCAGACTGGCAGAGCCAACAGGTTGTGTGGCTCTTGAGACTGGGCAGCTACATCCAGCCCATCCATTGCCAACTGGCCTGGCTCCCCTCTGCAACGGGGCTCTTTGACAGCTGCTAGTGGAAGTCACAGCAATAAATGTTTTTTTGTAAATCCCAGCATATGCTCTTTGTTTCCGCTGGTGAATTGTCTTAAGTAGTGACTCCCTGCCTGGACCGTACTTTCCTAGTCCTGGGACTCCAGGGCCGTAGCCGCTGTGTTGTGGCCAGTCTTGTGCTCCCAACTGGGAGGGGCACAGTAGGCTAGATCAGTGACTTTTACTAGGGGTCACACAGTAGTACGGTCAAAGCATCCGAACAAATGCTTTGCTTGAGACAGTGGATAGAAACAGGCTGATTGTTCTGACCTGGCTGGGCCAGGAAGGGGTCCCTGTAGAATGGTGCAGAGCACCCACCTTGGATGGGAGTGGGGTATCACCCAGGAATCCCAGTAGACTGTGTTATGCCTCCTGTATCTTGGGGCCCAGGCTGAAGGCCTTTGCAAGGAAGTTTTGTACAGGTGGAAATGGTGGTGCACGCCTGTAATCCCAGCACTTGGGAGGCAGAGGCAGGTGCATCTCTGAGTTCAAGATTAGCCTGGTCTATGTAGTGAGTTCTAGGACAGCCAGGGCTACATAGTGAGACCCTGTCTCAAAAAAAAAAAAAAAAAAAAAAAAAAAAACCTTCCCACAAACCTTGAGTATGATCTCTGAGCATCCTTCCAGGTTCACTGAAGGGACAAGCACGAACAGCTAGCTTAGTGGTTGGCCTGAGGCTTCAGGAACATCAGGAAGTTGGCTTCCAGCCAAAATGAGGTTCTACCAGGGTGGGCAGATGACAGGGAATGGCTTTTAGCACATCACTGCCCCAGATCCCCTGAGCCCAGGATGTGAGCATGCTGCTACTGGGCATGGCAAGCTATGGACAGGTGCTTTCTGGGCGGGACAGCTCCCCCAGCCTGTCCTCAGCACTGGGCCCCATCATCAGGACCATAGAGTCCTTTTCATTCATAATTTGTATCAGATGTTGTAACTTGGCCCTTGGGATCTTGAGCCAATTGTCATGCTCCACTGCTCCTGAGAGCTTGTAGGAATGTTCCGGCAAAGCTCAATCCGGCTCCAGCCCCTGCCCTGCTTTGCTTTCACAGAAGCCTCCAAGTTTGCCCGGTGGTGCTGAGACAGTGGCAAGCAGGGAGTGACTCTAACGGCCTCAGGAGCCTGGGTGGGGAGCTGCACTCCTCAAGAGGTCAAAGTGCCTGGGCGGCCATGAAACTTCTCTGTATTGAGGCTAGTGTCATGGCAGTGTTTGTACAACAGGTTTTATTGGAGGTGGTCAATACAACCAATACTGTAGTTTTCTTTAAAAAAGAAATTTCATTTTCCTGATTCCCCAGGGCATTTTCCCAGAACTTGACAGGGGGCACATGATAAGTAGAGAGAAACTACCTACACCAGGTTAGAAGTGAAATCACAAGTGGGAAAACCTTAATATTAAAAAACAAAAAATTAAAAACCCCAGAATACAAAACTGCACAAGGTAGGTGTAGTTGTCACAGTTAAAGCCTGATAGTGTTTGTCAAAATTGGCCAGTGACACCTACAGCTCCAATCCACAAACATTTCCAAATCGCCAATCCTTCCCTAAGGGCTTCAGGGTGAAATCTGGCAGCTCTGCCCTGATAGGACTTTTTGGGCTCCCTGGTGCCTTACTCAACCCCCAGGCTTCCTCTGAGAGCTGATTAGAACCCATCCTTAACACATCAGATTAGTGGCTTTGACCCAGGAAAGGAGGAGGCTGAACAAAAGGCCCAGCAGGACACTCAGACACTAGCTGGTTCTCTTGGGTGTAGCAGAAAAGCACACTGAGCCCAGGCTGAACTCTTTCTCGATGCCACAGGCAGGATCCCCCTTGGGAACTGAAGGAAGTGTCATCTAGGCTGCTAAGCAGGGGCGGAGGCTGGGCCTTCCTCAGCCCATTGGCCTGGCAGTTGAATGGGCCCAAACTGGAGCACAAGATGGGTTGCCTATTGAATATGCCAGTTTCACAGTTGGCACACTGATGTGGGCTGACTAAGTGAGGATTGAGGAAGGTCATGGACCACAGAGAAAGCAGCCATCCTGACATAGGCAAGAGTATCTACCATCCCTGCCCCCAGCACTGATCCCAGCCTGAACTGGGGCCAAGGGGCTGGGAAGCAAGCCTGTTTCCTTGCAGGAAAATTCTGATTAGGGGGCCTGCTAGAAGCCTCCAGAGGCTCATTCCAGTGGGGCCTGCTGGCATCCTTTCCTTCAGAGCCTTAGGCTCCTGGGCCCTACCCTGCTTAGAGCAGGAAATTGGAAGCAGAGGGAGAGGAAGTACCCACAGATGAGCCCCTCCAGTAGACACTAAATAGCCACAGCATGGTTCTTACTAAGAAGAAACAAAAGTCTGCACCCACAACCTTGTGTGCCTCTGTGCAGAGGGCCAAGACAGAAGCTCTCTGCTTGAAAACACTTAGTTTGGACTTGGCCAGGGTCCCTAACAGTCTGATAGTGAGAATATGAGCCCACCCCCTGCAGGTGAGAGGAAAGAGGGAGGGGCACTCATGCTTACAGATCATTGGTCCTGGCTGGCTCTGCAATCTGTAGAGACTACACAGAGTTCCATCTCAGCCCAGGGCTGTCCACCCTTACACTGAAGAGCCAGAGCCAATGGGGATAGCCAGAGAAACAGAAGAGCTACCAGCCTGCCTCAGAATCCACGCCTCTGATCCCTCCCGGATCCCCACAGACAGCTGCTTCTGGAATCTTTCAGGGGTCAGTAGCAAGGGCCACACAACTGTCCCCACCAGGACTGGCCTGAGTCCACAGCATGATTCCAGGGGTCTAGCCACACTGACCGCCTCCATGGTCCCCATTCCCTTCTTCCTTTCCCCCAAAAGGAAATAAAAACCTTCGAGCCTCATGTCATATGCTGGAGACCCCTGGAAAGCTGGAAGAGGCCCCGCAAACACAGGAAGCACTCCTGGTCCCTTCCATGTCCTCTGAGGCCAACAGGAAAACCATCTCTCCCAGCAGCTTCCAGGACTCACAAGGGGGCCCGGCTGAGTGCTCCGGGGTGCTGCCTCCAGACCAGGCAGGTCCAGAAGAAGGTACAACCCCCACAGTGCACCGGAGGAAAGGAAATTAGGGCAACCTCTTCCAGAAACGACTTCAGCCTACACAAGGGGAAAACAGGTCAGTCTCCTCGGGCCAAGGCCGCGCCGCCTCTGTTCAGCTTTTGGTTGTTTCCTTCAAATGGAGATCTCTGTAACCGGAAAGGTCTCTCTATCACTAAAGAGGAGGAGGCCAGGGCAGCAGGGCCCCCCACGGGTTATGTGGGACAGAGCAAGAATCCTGAGAAGGAGGAGTGGATGTACTCAGTGGAGTAGAGGCCATTGGCTTGGTCTGAGGGCATCTGCACCCACACCTGGTCATTGGGCCGCAGTTGAAGCACAGCCCCTCCAGACGCCTGGTCCAAATACCCCTTCTTGTACTCATCGTAGGTGTAGGTGGCTGGCACATTGTTCTTGTACAAGGCCACCCACACATTGGTGCCCTTGACGTGCACATGGTAAGCAAAGTAGTAGACGCCTCCCACGGGGCAGGTGAAGATACCAGTAGCTGGGTTGTAGCCGCTGTGACCGTTGTAGAGAGTCCGGTCAAACCTAACTGGCATGCCTGAGGCAGGGAAGGGGGAGGTGAGCACAGCGGTGAAGGCTGGCGTGGCCTGCCCTGACAGCTCCCCCAGCCCAAACTGTGGCTTCCCTCCCTTGCCCAGCACAGCCCCCTCCACCCCGCCATTGGGCAGATGCAAGCCTGCAATACCCGTTTCATCAAAGGCCCCTGGTGCGCCGGGAGGCCCAGGGGGCCCAGGGGGCCCAGGAGGACCTGTGAGTCCTGGGGAGCCAGGGACTCCAGGGGGTCCTGTGGGCCCAGCAGAGCCAGGTTCCCCCACTTTTCCCTCTCCGGGAGGCCCTGGAAGGCCTGGTTCACCCTTCAGGCCTGGCAGACCCTGGGGCCCAATAGGGCCAGCTGGGCCTTGGAGTCCTGGAATTCCAGATGGGCCCCTCAAGCCAGGCTGTCCGGGAAGCCCCAAGTCACCTTTCTGTCCTAGGGCTCCTGCCACCCCTGGTCCTCCAGGACGACCTGTAAAACCTGGCTCACCCTTGGGCCCAGTTGGTCCAGGGGGCCCGTGGGCCCCAGGAAGTCCCCTCTCACCAGGAAGACCAGGCTTCCCCGCCAGGCCATTAGGTCCTTGGTCACCCCGAATGCCAGGCACTCCTGGGGGACCTCCAGGTCCTACCTCTCCCTTGGGCCCAGGGGGCCCACGCCTACCAGGAAGCCCTGCAGACCCAGGAAGGCCAGGTGGACCCCCAAGGCCCTGTGGACCCTGCTCCCCTGGCTCTCCATCCTCTCCTGGCTCACCTCTGTCCCCCAAAAGCCCCGGAGCCCCAGCTGGGCCCCTGTCTCCCTTAGGTCCTGGTTTTCCTGGCATCCCATAGCCAATAGGGCCTATCAGGCCAGGGGGGCCCCGGAGCCCTGGCTCCCCTTTAGCCCCTACTGGGCCCTGTGGCCCTGGTACCCCTGCTGCCCCTGGTACCCCCACACCATCTACCCCAGGAGGGCCTTTAGGACCTACAACTCCTGGCTCTCCCCTAGAGCCTGGAACCCCAGGGGGCCCAGAGTCACCTTTGTCTCCTGGGGCTCCTGGTAACCCATCCAAACCTGGTTTGCCCAAACCAGCAGGACCAGGCAACCCAGGGGGTCCAGGGGCACCTGCCTGCCCTGGTGCCCCAGGAAGCCCTGGCTGGCCCACTCCATTATCCCCCTTGAGGCCCCTATCTCCTCGGGGTCCAGGCTCTCCCTGGGGTCCTGGCTCCCCCCTAAATCCTGGAGGGCCTGGCACCCCCTGAGCACCTGGTTTTCCAGGAACAGTAATGCCTGAGGGGCCAGGAAGGCCAGGGGGCCCTGGAGGTCCCCGAAGGCCCTGGTCCCCTCGTATCCCTGGCTCTCCCCGCAGCCCTGGCTGTCCTGGTGGTCCAACCTTGCCTGGGAGCCCTGGGGGACCAGCCTTGCCCATGCGGGAGAAGCCAGGCGGGCCAGCAGGGCCTGGCTGCCCATGAAGCCCAGGTTTCCCAGTGCCGGGCTTTCCCGGGAAGCCAGGAGGCCCAGGAGGACCCCGAGGTCCCGGCTTCCCAGGGGGACCTGGCTCTCCTTTCAAGTCCATTGGCAGCAGCGGTAGAGGCATTTCTGAAAGAGAGAGAAGGGGACAAACAGTCAGGGGCTTGGGCAATGGAAGCTGGGACCCTCATCCACCCATCCCAATGGCAGTGTGTGGAGCACTGGAAAGAAAGCAGGGCTTTGGATTCGCTCACTCCCAGAACTGCCTCTCCATAATGGAAGGAGTCCAGAGTGGTTCTGTTGCTGGGGACTGCTGCAGGTGTCCTCCTCCAGGGCTCCTGGTACCCAACTAACTAGCCAGCCAGGCCTTGCCCAATGAACTTGGACTATTTTTGCGAGCCATGATGGTGAGATGACCACTAGGTGGCATCAGTGGGCCGCTTTACAGACCAATCAATCGGCTTCATTACCTGTCTACCTTCCTGCACCCCCATATGAAGACCACCTGCACCAGACAATCAGAGCCAGCTTCTGGCCCCTAAGGCTGGCAGGCTCTGGCCTAGCTGTAGGAAGAAAAGTAGAGTCGGGATTTCTGCTGGACACTGAGAAGCTGTGTGTGGCCTAGAGGGGCTAGAGGTGCTTAGGGAGCTGAGGCTTGTCTTAGGTAGTGTAGGGTAGGGAGGCTCTCACCCAAGTACTGGCCCTTGCCCTCTCGGAAAGGCGGTCCCACTGGTCCTTTCTGCATGGGCTGCACGTACTTTACCGGGGCATAGCCTGCTGCGCCCCCCGCTCCGCCACCAGAGGACACTCTTGGCCTACACCCCAGCAGCAACAACAGCAGCGAAGGCAGAGCCCCTTTCATGGCGTCTGCGTCTGTGCTGCGGGAAGAAGAAGGTGATGTCAAACTAGCCCCCAGGACCAGGGGTTCAGCTAGAAATTCAGTTGTTACCTGAAAGCAAATCTCAAAAAGCAGGGATCTGAAAATACTGTCCGCTAAACCTTTTCCTAGCATCTCCCCCCAGGCTCGACTCGGCAACCAGACAGAAACTTCTGGAAAGCCAGCTTGACCTCAGCACATTCCTTGCTAAAGCAAACCCCTGCCATGTGCAGACCAGCTTCTGCCAGGTACCACCGGGGCTCTTCAGAGATGTACATCCAGTCATTTCAATACCAGCATATTCAATACCAGCCACTGTCTGCCCCAGATTCCAGACAGAACAGGGGAGGCAGGTGTGGGACTGGGTCCTCACGATCCCCATCCCCATCATGCTGACACCATTCTGGATTCCACCCTGCCAAGGTCTCATCTTCAGCCTCGCTCTCCCTTCCTCTCCCGCCAACCTTTATTGTCAGTTAGGGCACCAGCCTCGAATTCACAGAGACCCGCCTGCCTCTGCCTCCTGAGTGCTGGGATTAAAGCTGTATGCCACCACTGCCTGGCATCTGCCTCTTCCTCCTCCTCCTCCTCCTTCTAACAGGTCCTCATGTGATCCAAACTGGTGTCAAATTGATAGCTAGCCAAAGATGTCTTAGAACTCCCGATCCTCCTATCTCTATCTCCTGAGCGTTGGGATTACGGGTGTAACCCACCACTATTGTGGTTTAAAAACTACTCATAACACACCACACTGTTTTTTAGGGGGCTAGGGGGCATGTAAGCAAGACCTTTACCAACTGAGCCACACTCCCAGCCTATAGAAGTGCTCTTTTTGAAGAGTATGTCCTTAAGAAAAGGCACTGTCACAAAACAGCTACCAGCAGAAACATTAATAGGAGAGAATATATAAGGACAGTCTTCCCAAAGACACTTCCTTGGAACAGAAGGAAAATAAGGTAACTGCAGGGACCTGTGACTCCGCTATTCTTCCACAGGATCTACACTGTGGCTCATAACCAGCTGTAACTTCAGTTCCAGGGGATCCAATGCCCTCTTCTGGCCTTTGTAGGTACTGCATACACATGGTGCACAGCTATACATACAGGCAAAATACCCATACACATGAAGAAACAAAAAATATTCTTAAAAATGTTTAAACTTTAAAAAAAAGCAGGGAAATGGCACATTTCTTTAATCCCAGCACTTAGGAAGCAGAGACAGACAGATCACCAAGACTGAAACCAGCCTGGTCTACAGAGCAAGTTCCTGGTTAGCCAGGGCTAACTCTGGCCTCTGTGTGCATGCATTCATCATCCCTCTCTGCCTAAAATCACACAGAGCCTGGCAGGAATGGATAGAGGGCTGTAGGGAAAGTACATTGAGCCAGTGCCCAGCTCCGGGGTTCAAATCCCAGCTCCACCACTCACAGGGTCTGTGACCTCAAAGGACCCTTTACTCTCCCTGTGCCTCAGCCTGACAGTAGGACCCGTCACTGTGGGTCCCTGTGTGCCAAACTCAAGCTGACCTTCTCACCGAGCCCAGTGAGTTCATGCAAAGGTAACTCTTGTGCTACGGATGTGGAAAGAGAACCTAGGGCTACAGCACAGCTTGGGTTTAGGGCCTTCCCTAGCATGTGTGAGGGCCTGGGTTCCATGCTTAGCAGAGGGAAAAGTGGAGAAAGGCGGGAGGGAAAGAGAAGGGAAGCTACTTAAACTACAAACAGCTTGCTCGGGGGCTGAGGCCCCATCAGGAACCTTCCCTGAGCACAGGCCACCTGCCTCACTGGCTGTGACTGATGCCGAGACTCAGTGATGTACAGGTCTGGCTCTTCTTAGATGCTGATGGTGAATCAGACCAGAAACTGCCCCAACTGCTCATATATGACACTCCCTACAGCCTGTGAGGATGCCACTGTAGTCCAGAGAGGAAAGGGGTTGAAGGTCTTCATTAACAAGACTACAGTCAGACCCTAAACCTGGGCAGGGAAGCCCCGACCCTCTGCCTGCCTCACCTCTCCTGGGCAGGCAGGGCTGGGCCCTCTTGCACTGGTTGTCTGAACCAGGGCACTCTAAGAGCCCTGTCTGTGAGCACCTGTCTAGAGCCAGAGTGTTCTGTCTGGTGGATGGACAGGGATGGGGGAGCAGAGGGAAAGCGAGGGGGAAGGGGACTGAGTGAAAAGGAGGTAACAGAGGGAGCCAAGGTGGCTTCTGGCTGACTTTAGGCCAGGGCCAAGGTCATGACACCATCACAAGAGACCTGGAACAGACCTGGCTCTGGAAAGGTCAGACCAGTTTCCCACACACAGGAAGTGGTAATGGAGGGTGGAGTCAGGAAGGCTCCAGGCAGGCATGGCACCAAACATCCCAGTCTAGCCATCAGCTTCAACTTCTGCTTACTGTGGGTCCTATGAAAGTGCCTTTCCCTCCTCCCATAGCTCCTAGCACTTCCACTCCAGTAACTTCTATCCAACACTGGTGTATATGAGAGAGAGTGAGAGTGAGAGACAGACACAGAGAGAGACAGACAGAGACTCCCTCTAGGGTATCAGGACAGGTCTGATCCAGGCATATATTTGCAGAGTGAGGAAAGTGATGGAGGAGGCATGGCCTGGAAGTCGTCGTCCCCAGTCCCCCCCCCCAAAGAGTTACTGTTTGTGGCCTTCTCCACGAGTAAGACACTGTGGGGCCTGTCTGCAGGTAGGGAAACAGAAGCCCAGAGAAGCACAGCGATGCTTGCACAGGTTGGGAGACAGCGACCTGTGACAAAGCAAAGCTTTAACCACTGGGATCTCCTGCCATGGGAGTCAGGAGCATTCAGGGAGCCAGAGGCAAGAGGAGTCTTTCTTCCAGGTAGGCTGGGCACAGGGCTGGGGAGTGGAGGCAGCGCACTGAAGGATGAACCTGCTCAGGGGCTGAAGAAAGAGGCAATCGCCTGGAGGTGGCACTGTGGGACACTGTGGGCTCTGCTTACTCTGCCGCCTTGGCCCTTCTCCACCTGGGTAACTCACTTGTCCTGACATAGTGGAGATGCCAGGCCCATTGGCTGCCTCACCCAGCCTCTGCCTCTGTCTGTGGAGCCAGGCTCTGCTCCTACGTCCTTGTTTAGCTCTCCTGCTCTACCCGGCACCACATGGCCAAGCTGGCACAGTGAGGCCCCACCTTGTGTGACCAACTCAATTCACCATCAGACTTAAAGATATGGTGGCACACACCTGTAGTCTCAGAAAACGGGAAACAGAGGCAGGAGGGGCACAGAATGTCTAGGTCATCCTGACTGCTTGGCACGTTTGAGACAAAGATAGCTCAGTCAACCATCAAGAACATAGCTGGGCCGTGGTGGTGCCTGCCATTAATTCCAGCGCCTGGAAGGCAGAGGCAGGCGGATCTCGCAGAGCCAGTGCCAGGGCAGCCTCCAAAGCTACACAGAGAAACTCTGTCTCGAACGCCCCCTCCCAAAAAAAAAAAAAAAAAAAAAAAACAAAAAAACAAGGACATAGCAACAACTCACCCCAGCCTTTCCCCAGTGACAGGCTGAGGAGTGTGTGCACAGACACGCCTTCCTCCAGAAGAGTGGGTGGGGCAAAGGGGACAATCCATCTGTTACTTGCTCTCTCAGAAGGGATTGCTGGCCAAGTTAGGGGGTCAAAGATAAGATGGAGTCCTGAGGCTCCAGCCATCTCCGCCCACGACTGGCTGTGTGACCCTGGGCAAGCCATCACCCCCTCTCTGGTGACCTCTCTGGACAGACCGAGGCCAGGGCTGGCAGGGGTGCAGAGCCTCGGAGGTGGAACGCGTTCAGGAGACGCTGATTCAGGGGATTGAGCCCTGGCGGCGGCGGGACAGACGCGGTGTTTGGACAGCTGCAAGTCCTTAACGGGGATTTCCCCCCTTTTCAACAAATCGCCGTAAAACACCATTTCGTCCAAGTCAGCGTTTCGGGGCAGCCTGGCCTCCTCCCAGGGAGGCGGAGGAGACGGGCTGGGAGCGGGCGCCCCGGGGCTTCCAGACCCACGAGGGAGGAGGCGCTGGCCGACCCCCCCCCCCAGTCCCAGGGCCCGGGCCCCAGGTGTGTTCCGGCTCCATCCTCACCACCCCCGCCCCATCCCCGGCCGAGCGGTCTCATCCGAGATGCAGAGGGACCCGAGGGAAGGCGCTGAGTGAGGCTGGTGTGACCCCGCCCCGGGGTGGAGGCGGGTGGAACCCGACCCGAGCAGAATCCAGGCCCCAGCACCGCAGACGGCGGCTCCGCGAGCAGCGGCGGGGAGGCGCGGCGGCCCGTCCGCCAAACCACAGGTATGCTGTGCGCCGCTTCCTGTGGTGGAGACGTTCTGCACAGCCCCTGCCCGGTGCCTGGTCCCCACTCGCCCCTCTTCCTGTCTCCCAGGTCTCTTGCCCACCTTCTCTCGCCTATCAGGTGAGAGCATTTCCCAGCCCCTCCTAGAGCCAGGCAGCCCTTGCCCCCTCCCCCCCCCCCAGAGCAGCTACTTGGAGCTGGGTGACACTGGGCAAATGACTGAACCTCTCTCAACCTCAGTGTCCTCAGCAAAAAGATCAGCTGAGATCACAAGAGCCACCAGACCCTCCGGGTGTGCTGCCTTGGCTTGTCCTTCATGGCCAGGAAGTCCTTCCTTCAGTCCGGCCACACACCCTCCTGCTGCAAAGTGACATCCTGCCTCCACCCAAAGCCTAAGGTCTTGAGGAATGAAGTCTGAATGTCCATTTCCTGCCCTTCTAGAGCTTTCCCTGGTTAGTCAAGAGAGAACACTGACCAGGTTTGTCTGTAGGAACCGTGGGACAACTGAATAAGGATCCTGGGGTGAGCAGAGAAGATGACCCCAACCTCAGGCCCTCAGCTTGCACTGCAAATTCTAAGCCCTCCCCGTTCCCTGAGTCCCAAAAGAAAGGTGGTCTCCTTCTTCAGGGGCTCAGGGTGGACATCAACCCTGTGGCTTCCAGCCTCTTGCCCCAGGCATATTTCTGCCCGTG